AGGTGCGGAGCCTGGAGGTGCGGAGCCTGGAGGTGCGGAGCCTGGAGGTACTGAGCCTGGGGGTGCTGAGCCTGGACGTGCTGAGACTGGGGGTGCTGAGTCTGGGGGTGCTGAGTCTGGGGGTGCTGAGCCTGAGCGTGCTCCACCTGGAGGAGCCCTCTCCTCCCAGCAGCTGCAGGAGAGGTACCTCGAGTACTGCCGCCTCCGGAGAGGTGCTTCTGGAGCTCGTCCCGGTACTTCCCCTCCTACCCAGGAGCTCCCCCCCATTCAGGTGATCCGCGAGTGGTACACGCGGCGCTGCAGTCTTCGTAGTGGTGCTCCTGGTGCTGCGGACCCGAGCGGTGGTGTTGTTGCTGGTGCTGAGGACCCGGACGCTGGAGCTGCTGCTGGTGCTGAGGACCCGGGGGCTGGAGCTGCTGCTGGTGCTGAGGACCCGGGCGTTGGAGCTGCTGCTGGTGCTGAGGACCCGACCGGTGGCGCTGCTGCTGGTGCTGAGGACCTGACCAGTGGCCGTGCTGCTGGTGCTGAGGACCCGGGCGTTGGAGCTGCTGCTGGTGCTGAGGACCCGACCGGTGGTGCTGCTGCTGGTGCTGAGGACCCGGGCGTTGGAGCTGCTGCTGGTACTGAGGACTCGGGCGTTGGGGCTGCCACTGGTGTCCCTGCTGCTTCTGGAGACGCTGCGCGGCCGCGACCGTACTTCGTACCGCTCCTTCAGCAGGTTCTTGGTCAGGCTCCTCCTCCTAGTCCTCCTCCCTCCGTCGAGTGTCCTCTGCCTGTCCAGCCGCAGTCACAGTTACCGCCTGCCTCGCCTCTCCCTGCTCCCTCCCCTTACGCTGGTCCCACAGGAGGTCTTACAGAGCGTCGTGAGCCTGAGTCTCGTCCTGCGTCGCCTGTTCGTACTGCTCGCACTGGTCGTCGTGTCCCACGTGAGCGTCCTCCTCCTGTCCCTGGCACTCACTACATGACTCTGCGTCCCTCCACTGCTCCGCAGCGTGTCCCGCTGCCGTCTCCTCCTGCGTCCTCTCTTCCTACTCTTCCTGACCCGGAGTCTGACTCCCGTCGTGCTGCCAGTCCCACTGTTACACGTCTCCTCGCTACAGTTGTCACTGACCCGACCTTTGAGTCCTCTGCTGCGTCTGCTCTGGTCGCTGAGTTGGTTGACTTTGCTGCTCGCTGTCGCCTAGACTACGCTGCCAGCCTTGTCGCTAGGTCTGAGTCTGCGTCTGCCTGTCCTCCGTCCGTCGGGGGTGAGTGTGCCCTCGGCACGGACGTCCTTGAGGACAGACAGGAGGAGTTCCACTGCCTTGCTGCTGCTTTGCCCCGTCTCGTGTCCTTGCTAGTTGCCCCTGAGGGAGACCCGGATGCACCAGACATCCCGACCCCACGCTCTTACGCTGAGGCGATGGCGGGTCCCTACTCCTCTCAGTGGCAGACAGCCATGGACGCAGAGATGGCCTCCTGGAAGTCCACAGGCACCTACGTAGACGAGGTTCCCCCTCCTGGGGCGAACATCGTCAGTGGCATGTGGATTTTCAGGGTGAAGCGGCCGCCGGGTTCTCCACCTGTCTTCAAGGCGCGCTACGTGGCTCGAGGCTTCAGTCAGCGAGAGGGAGTAGACTTCTTTCAGACCTTCTCCCCCACCCCGAAGATGACTACTCTTCGGGTGCTGCTGCACATAGCCGCTCACCGCGACTACGAGCTTCACTCTCTTGACTTCAGCACTGCTTTCTTGCAGGGCAGCCTGCACGAGGAGATCTGGCTGCGCCGCCCCCCTGGCTTCACTGGGTCAGTTCCTCCTGGCACCCAGTGGAGGCTTCAGCGGCCGGTCTACGGTCTCCGCCAGGCGCCACGTGAGTGGCACGACACACTGAGGACGACACTTGCGGCTCTTGGGTTCGCTCCCTCTACTGCTGACCCGTCGCTGTTTCTACGCACCGACACCTCGCTGCCGCCGTTCTACATCCTCGTGTACGTCGACGACTTGGTCTTTGCCACTGCTGACACCGCGGCACTCGCTCACGTGAAGTCGGAGCTGCAGAGGAGACACACGTGCACAGACCTGGGTGAGCTGACGAGCTATCTTGGCTTGCGGATCACCCGGGACAGAGCACGGCGCACCATCACCCTGACTCAGTCACACATGGTGCAGCAGGTTCTCCAGCGCTTCCACTTCACGTACTCCTCGCCTCAGTCCACTCCTCTGCCTACCGGTCACTCGCTCTCAGCTCTGCCTTCGGATGAGTCCGTAGAGCCGAGTGGCCCGTATCCAGAGCTTGTGGGCTGCCTCATGTACCTGATGACCTGCACTCGACCTGACCTTGCATACCCTCTTAGCATCCTAGCACGCTATGTCGCTCCTGGCCGTCACCGGAAGGAGCACATGGATGCTGCTAAGAGGGTGTTACGCTACTTGTGCAGTACGTCGGGCATGGGGCTTGTGCTTGGAGGGCGAGACCGGGTTGTTCTCACAGGGCACTCAGACGCTTCTTGGGCAGACGACCAGGCTACTCAGCGGTCGTCCCAGGGTTACACCTTCAGCCTTGGCTCTGGCTCAGTTTCTTGGCGTTCTACTCGCTCTTCTTCTGTTCTCAGCTCCAGTTGTGAGGCTGAGATCTACGCCACAGCCATGGCTGCTCAGGAGCTACGCTGGCTGACCTACCTGCTGACCGACCTCGGAGAGCGGCCTCGTTCTCCTCCAGTGCTGTACGTCGACAACAAGGCTGCCATTGCCTTGTGTGAGGAGCACAGACTGGAGCACAGAACGAAGCACATCGCTCTGCGGTACTTCCTTGCTCGAGAGCTGCAGCAGCGTGGTCAGCTTTGTCTGCGTTACGTGGCCACAGAGGCCAACACTGCTGATGTGTTCACCAAGGCGCTTCAGCCTTGTGACCATCAGCGCTTTTGCACTCTGCTAGGCCTTGTACCCACTGGGCCTCACTTGCTTACCTCTTGACCTTGCTTGTACTGTGATCACTATATATATATGCCTACTTGTTTACTTTTGCTAGGTTGTGATCACTGTATCTCTTGCTTTGTTATAAACCTGCATGTGAACTGGTCTTGTGACCGCTTGCTTGTGCTCGGAATTTGTGTGGAATCCTTGAGATCCACCCTGAGCTTGCTTTGCTTTGCTTTGACTGGTCTTGTGAGCCTGTGGTTGTCTCCCACTGCGCCTATGGGGGTGTGTCAAACATTGCATGTTTATATTATGTAGGCTGTAGTGGGTTACACCTTAGGGGGTACTCAAAGTTAGGGTTTCCTACTTGTACCAAACTCTGTGCTAGTTCATTCCATTCCTGCTCAGTTATTTCTGACAGAACCGTTAGAGGAACTCCTTTCCTTCTGTGTTGCCATGTCTTCCGATGTTGTAAATGTCTTGACGATAGTTGAATTCCCCTTGATAGCTCTCATACCATGTTGGGCTGAGAAGAAGCCCTTAAGATCTTTGCAAGGCTGAATTCTGAGTAGAAACAGTGTAATAGCGGAAGCGTTTTATAAAGTGATTGAACCACCTTGCGCTGGTATGTGAGGGCAAAGTAGATTAATTAAAACAAAGAGATACAAGAGTATATAAAGAAATACAGCTATAACTGTTTTACTGTTGCTGTTGCGGTTTGATACAGTGACGACTCGGGCAACTGCTCTGTAACGAGTCAGTTGTGTGTCCTTGCTGTCGCGCTGTACTTGTCAGGTCAAAGGTCGCTGACCTTTGACTTTCGCGTAACCTCCAACAGTTACTTCAACCTCCGAGGGTTGACTCGCCGGTGCTTCGATATGCTTTGCTTCGCTTGTGACTTGGTGTTTCGACACGACAGAGGCGCTTAGAATTAATTGTTTCCAACGGTTACACATGCGTTACGAGATCAGTATGTAAACCAAATAAATGAGACTGCCTACTACCGTAAATCACATGCATTGCCACCAATACCAAGAATTTATGGTACCATCAGCACACCCCCAAGCCCTATTTACTAGCATCCTTCAGTGTGGTCAAGGCATGCACTATGCCCTCCCCAACCCGGCCTGCCAGCCCGCCCTCCTCCGTAAGCTGCCTCACTGCTGCCTTCTGCTTCTCCCTCCCCTCCTCCATCTGCTGGTCAATGCGGTCAACAGCTGGAAGGACGGGGCATTGGAGGACACAGGGGGCAAAGAGGGTTAATGCGGTCAACAGCTGGAAGGACGGGGCATTGGAGGACACAGGGGGCAAAGAGGGTTAATGCGGTCAACAGCTGGAAGGACGGGGCACTGGAGGACACAGGGGGCAAAGAGGGTTAATGCGGTCAACAGCTGGAAGGACGGGGCATTGGAGGACACAGGGGGCAAAGAGGGTTAATGCGGTCAACAGCTGGAAGGACGGGGCATTGGAGGACACAGGGGGGCAAAGATGGTCAATTGGTCAATGCCTAGTGGGGGATATGGGGTCAAAGAGGGTCAATGGCAATGCGGTATATGCCGGATCGGAGATGGGGGCAAAGAGGGTCATCAATAGTGGTCAACGGTTGATGGGGGATATGGGGCAATGAGAGTCATTGCGGGCATTGGCTGAACGAACAAGACAGTGAGCAGCTGATGGGGGATATGGGGCAATGACAGGGAGGTCTGAAAGACGCAATGAGGGGTCCATGGCTGGAAGGATGAGGCAGTGGGGATGAGGGAGACAATAGCTTCAGCGAGGTCAACAGCTGGAAAGGCAGGCTGGAAAGCTTGGTGGGTAGGCTGGAAGGAAGGATGGAGAAACTACTAGGGTGACTCGCAGGCAACAAGTAGTGGTCGAAAGCACATGCATCAGCATCAGTAGTGGTCAAGAGCACCTGTCTTGTCATGAATCACATGGGCTGACCGCACCTCACATGCACATGGGCTCACATGCACATGGGCTCACATGCACATCCACTCATGTGCATGGCTCACCTTGCTTCACATGCACGTGTGCATGGCTCACCTTGCTTCACATGCATGTGTGCATGGCTCACCTTGCTTCACATGCACGTGTGCATGGCTCACCTTGCTTCACATGCACGTGTGCATGGCTCACCTTGCTTCACATGCACGTGTGCATGATGCAGAGGCATGCGCACAAACATCTCCCCTCCACCCATCGCCACCCACACTCGCTCCTTCTGCCCCACCGCCCCACACACCGCACACTCCGAACTCCCATCCAATCCCGACGTGCCACCTGGCACAGCAGGCAGGGGGGTTACAAGTGGCCAGTGCGCCTCTGCAGATCCACCTCCCCCAGCTGCACCTCCCCCAGCTGCACCTCCCCCAGCTGCACCTCCCCCAGCTGCACCTCCCCCAGAGCCCCCCTCCCTGCGCGCCGCTGCTCTCCTGGCAGTCGCCCCCCTGGCATGCTTCTTGAGTGCTGTGACTGCCTCCCTGCCCGCATTGCGCTGCCGATCCAGGTCCACTAGCTGTGGTGGGGGGGAGGGAGGGAGCATAGACCTGGGGCTTCTTACTGTGCCCCTGCTCTCCTGGCAGCCGCCCCCCTGGCATGCTTCTTGAGCGCCGTGATGGCCTCCCTGCCTGCATTGCGCTGCCGATCCAGGTCCACTAGCTGTGGTGGGGGGGAGGGGAAGAGAAGTAGAGAGGTGATAAGATCAGTGAAGGGCAGGGGGGGGCGACACAGGTTGTGCACATGTGCGGCAACCCCCCTGCCTGCACTGCGCTGGCGATCCCGACCCACTAGATGGGGGTGGATGGGAGGGGATGGGGAAGGGGAGGGGCGGAGAATGGGCATGAGGGGATAAGCGCGGGGCAGGGGGGAGTGGAAGGGCCAGCAGCGCTGTAACAGCCTCCCTGCCCGCATTGCGCTGGCGATCCAGATCCAGTAGCTGTGGTGGTGGGGAGGGGTAAGGCAGGGGAGCCGAAGGGAGAGGAGGGGAGGGGAGGGGAGGGGAGGGGAGGGGAGGGGAGGGGAGGGGAGGGGAGGGGAGGGGAGGGGAGGGGAGGGGAGGGGAGGGGAGGGGAGGGGAGGGGAGGAGAGGGCAGCGAGAGGAGGGGAGTGGAACGGGGGGGGGGGGATAAGAGAAGTGAAGGGCAAGGGGGGTCATGAGTGTGTGCAGAGCTGTGGCAGTCCCCCTGCCTGCACTGTGCTGCCCGTCCACATGCCCTAGCTGGCGCTAGCCGTGCGAACACACACGAGGGAAACAATGCAGGCCCAGGAAGAGGGGGGGAGATGGGGATGGGGGAGAAGGGGGGATTTGAGAGAGGCAGTGGCGTGGAAGCCAAGGGGCAGGTGGGGACTGCAATGGACTCTTTGCTGGCTTGTGCTGTCTGTTGCGATCCACTAGGTGACGGTGGGTGGGAGGGGAGTCCAGATGGGGCATGAGAGAGGAGTGAGGAGGGGTGTGATGTGATGTGATGTGATGTGAGGTGATGTGATGTGATGCTGTGACATGTGGTGCGATGCGGTAGCACGTAATACAGCATGATGCTTTGTACATGCCATGTGGTGGTACGTGGATTGGTGTGAAATACCCAAGACATAATGCAAGTGCAGTGGGGGGAAAGCTGGGGGCATACAGCTGCCACAGCACACCCCCGTGAACTTTGCACGAGAGTGAGAGGATGTAACGCCTGTGGGCTGGGTTAAGGGCGTTCCGCTGCGCCTAAATAACACCCTCGTTTTGAGCCAGTGGGTAGCGAGGTGTCATAGAAGATGCGACACTGAATGCCTCTAGCATTCAGTGCGACACCTAGCGAGGTATCCTCTACCTGCTTGGCTAGCCTAAACGGAATTCCTCTCCCACACCAGCACCGCACTGCACCGCTCACCTCCTGCTTCACCAGCAGCACCTCTTCCGCCTTGGCCTCAGCCGACCTCAGCCGCTGCTGCAGCTGTACCATGCCCTCCTCCATGCCGCCCACCCCAACCCCCGCGTCCTCCATCCCCCCTTGATGGCCTTTGTGGGAACGCGTACAGGTATCCTAACGAGCGTATGAGCACGGTTGAACGTAATTAGTTGTGGTTCCACGTGCTGATCCACCACATGGGACCGTCTTTCTCACTCTTACACACTCTTCCACACTCTTCCACACGCATCCCCCTTCCCCTCCCCTCTCCCCCTCCCCTCTCACCTCACCTCCCTCTTCCCCCTCCTCCTCGTCCCTCCCCGCGGCCTCCTTCCCGCCCGTCTTTCCTCACTCTGCTGCTTTCCGCGCCCTCCGCCAACGCCGCCACTACTTTATTTCGTCCCACGACTCACGTTCATCCTCGTACTCTCGCCCTCCCCTTTAACGGGCGGTCAAGCGTCGCCCTTTGCAAACGAATTCAGTTCTCTGGGACGGGGGAGAGGCGATGGAGTCAGCGGGAGCGCGCGAGAGGGGCGCGCATGGGGAGGCGGGATGGGAAGGAGGGGTGGGCGGGAGGGAGTGGTGGAGATGAGAGGACGACAGCAGGCGGGAGCTACGATGAGCGATCGACGATCGACGGTTGCCGCGCGACAAGCAACAAACGACGGGTGCGACGACACACCCCTCCGTATCGAGAGAGGCGAGAGGCAGGGAAGCGAGGGAGAAACGAGCGCTGGAAATGGCTTCTGAAAAAGTGGCGAGAAGGACGACGGAGACGAGAAGAGCAGTGGGCAAGGGAGGAGAAGAAGATGAGGCGCTGCTCGTGTTTCGAGGTGGCTCAAAGGGGATGTGAGGAGTTCGGTTTGGTGGGTCGAATGCTGCGATGGTCGTTTGTGACGAACTACCCTCCGTGATTTTGAATTCGGAAAACTGATGGCGAGACTCGCGAACCTTGGTCGATCTCCGGTTGTCTTTTGTGCGAGATCTACGCAGCCACGATATTCGCGAAAATGGTAACATACGACAGCAGCTCTCATCCATGAATCGCACGCGGTAACAATCTGCATTTAGAGAGCGTTGCGCGAAATATGTATATTCAGAGATTTCAGGTGACACCGAATTGTGAATACGTCCTGAGATCAGAATATTAACCAGTACTTGGAAGTGATTTTAGCGCGGAAGAAACGGCATGCACTTGATCTATGGATAGAAGGCGTCGCGAGTTGTCAAGGGTAGAATACATGCTGCTAAAGACGCGCGCAGCAAAGATACCTACTCCTCCCCGTTAGCGTAATCCCCGGGTCACCGCGCTCTCACTTTATTGTCCAGCGTGTCGCGTCATCCCGTCGCTCTTGCGCCTGCTAGACGCTCTGCCAGCACGTAGCGCACTTTCGACTCCCCCGGCGATTCTGTTCCGCGCGTAGCCTCTTCCCCGCTGATCGCTTCCCCGCAGCGGCCACATGGACGAGTCTGACGTGTCGTGGGAGGAGTTCTTCGCCACGTCACCACCTCTCGCGGACGCTGACGTCATCAAGGAACAGCTGTCGTCATTCATTGTACGCCACGTGGTCATCCACATCATCATTTACGCATTGCGGCCATCCACATGGCCGTCTGCCACTCATCTCGACTGCCCCTCGTCGAGACTGCCCAGCACTTCCCACTGCCTCTCTACCCGCCCCCATCCGTCCCTGCCTCTCCCCCGCGCCCGGTTCCACACTGCTCCCTCGTCTGCAGCGGCCAGGTGTGCCATGGGCAGCACCACACATTAAAGCCACCCGTCCTCCCTGCTTCCCTGCCTTTCTCTTATCCCTCCCGCTTCACCTGTTTTTGCGCCTTCTCTTCCTCCGCCCACTGCTCTCCCCTGATCCCTCGCCCCCGCGCTCCGTTGTGCAGCAAGCCTCTTAGCGACCAGCCCTTGTGACGAGGCGTATGCAGTGTGACATCGGGCAACACGTCACTGTCATAAGAGCCACCCATCCCGTCCTCCCTGCCTCCTTACTTCACTTCTTTCTCCTCCCCCGCTCGCCTCCCACCCGCCTCCCCTCTGCAGCAAGCCTCAGAGCGACCAGGCTGATACTCGCTGCTGGCGGGTGTGGCGTCAGGCAGCACCACGCTGCCAACAGACCCACCCACCCTCCTTGCCTCATCACTTCACTTCTTTCTCCTCCCTCTCTCCTCTTCCCCACCTCAAGCCTCACAGCGATCAGCGCCCTCGGCGCTGGTGGCGTGTGTGTCATTACTCTGCACACCCTCCCTGCCTCCTTATACATGTTCGTCCATCCCCTCCCCCCTCTCCCTATCCGCCTTTATCCCACAGCAAGCCTTGCAGCGACCAGGCTCGTTCTCCCTGCTGGCGTCTGAGGCGGCAGGTGGGAGCGCAGTTGTGTGCGCTTCATTGGCAGCTTCAGCAGGCCTTCCCCGCCCTTCCCTCCCATCCCTTTCTGCAGCAAGCCTCACAGCAGTGATCGGGCTCCTCCTCCCTGGAAGGAGGCACCACAGTGCCGTTGGAGCGCCGCTGTGTGCGCTTCATTCATAGCTCCCCCCCCACCACACCACTCGCCATCCCTTCCCCCACCTTACAGCAAGCACCGCAACAGCCTGGGCGCGCCTCCCTGGTGGCATGTGTGACGTCAGGAGGCACCACAGTGCCTCTGGAGCGCCGCTGTGTGCGTTTCATCCTCAACTTTAAACTCCCCTCCTCCCCTCCCCTTTCCGCTCGCCCTACAGCAAGCCTCACAGCAGCCTGGCGGTGCACCCCTGGTAACATGTGTGACGTCAGGCGGCTCGGCGCCACGGTACCATTGGAACGCTGCTGTGTGCGCTTCATTGACAACTTCAGCGCCACCTCGTCCCCCTCCCCCTCTCCCCGTTCCTCTACAGCAAGCGTCGCAGCAGCTTGGTGGAGCCTCAATGGTGGAGCCTCAATGGTGGAGCCTCAATGGTGGAGCCTCAATGGTGGAGCCTCAATGGTGGAGCCTCAATGGTGGTGTGTGTGACGTCGGGTGGCACAACATTGCCCTTGGAGCGCCGCTCTGTGTGCTTCATTGACAACTTCACACCCCCCCCCCCCCTTCCCCTCTCCTCTTCCCTTACCTCCCCTCCCCCTGCAGCAAGCCTCACAGCAGCCTGGCGGTGCACCGCTGGTGGCATGTGTAACATCAGGCGGCACAACAGTACCGTTGGAGCGGCGCTGTGTGCGCTTCATTGACAACTTCAGCGCCGGCAATCGCGGGGCCGCCTCCTGCGAGTGAGAGGGTTGGGGGTTGAGAGAGAGCTGGGGCTTGGTGCGAGTGAAGCCGTTCTTTCGAGTCGACTCAAAAGTCAGCTCGCGAATGAACCTGTTCGCTTCGTTGCCTCCTTCCCTTCCCCCTGCTGCTTCTTGCCACGCTGTCTGTGCCTGGTATATTGGCAATGCCTGCGCTGCCAAACGTCATCTCTCGCTTGCACTCCCCCTGGCCTTTTGGAAATTTCCTCTCCGTTACTCCAACGCTTTCCTCTCTTTCCATTCCACTTCCCTATCGTACTTGCACGACTCTCCGTTTATCCTTTCGACCGCGCCCAACCATCCCCAACCACTCCACATTCCTGTGTGTGCATGTGTGGCGACCATTCCCCCCAAACTGCAGGCACTTCCTGGCGCAGGGCTACTCCGCCATCTTCCTGCACAGACGGTATGTATGCTGTGCTCTCCTCTGCTCTCCACTCTCTGCATGTGCATTTTAGTCAGTACTGACTCACCACTAAGTGCATGCAGTGGACTGGACTCACTGCCGCTACCGTGCACTGCACTCGTGGCCATGCGTACCTGCAGCTAAAAATGCCTGCTGCATCCCACCTCGCGTGCCCTCCCTGACTCACAGTACCCATGTGTGCTGTGATTCACCGGATTTTTGCCACTGCGTCACTGCCACCATCAAAGCGTGCTGCGTGCGTCTCGTCGCACAGATCATCGCCTCTCTCTCTCCTTGCTGCTCACTGCTCATATATCGCTCTCCTTTTCCCTCATAGTTCTTCATCTACTCTTCCACATCTCTTCCCGATGCCCACCACCCCAGTGGCTCCATGCGTCCCTTCTGCCGCGGCCTGCCAGAGTCGCCTCTCCTCACTTAGTCCTCCCCCTCTCCTCCTTTTTTAAATCTTCTTACTCTTCTCTACTCCTCCACATCTCTTTCCCCCGTCTCCACCACGCCAGGGGCTCCATGCGTCCCTTCTGCCGCGGCCTCCCAGAGTCGCCTCTCCTCACGTGCCTGCGAGCCAAGCCCTCTGCTGTCACCCGCCAGGGTGAAGGCGACGGTAGTGCTGCCCACTGCATGCCTGAGCACGAGAGCAGCGGGCGTGTGGAGGAGGGAGTGAGTCGAGAACAGGGAAGCAGTGGGGAGGGGAGTGCCAATGCGGTACAGAGCGGTGGCAGTGGCTCGGGGCAAGTTTACCTTGAAGGTGATTTCAGCTGAATGGCATGTGGTGGTGGGTGCCATGCTGTGTCGTTGCTTGCTGCCAGTTTAAACACAACTTGCTACAGCAAAATGCCTTTCCTTTCATCCACTTGCCGCCTCTTACCATTCGTCTCATTCCGTCGTCATAGGAAAACGCCTTTCCTTTCATTTACCCGCCGTCTTTTACCATGCATCTCATTCCTTCCGTAGCCACTACGTCTCCTGCCCCCACATCTCCTCCTCCCTCACTCCTTCCCAACCCCTAAACCACTTTTCAGTCTCTATCTCCCACCATATGTAATGCCCCCACATCCCTTGTCGTTCTCCCGCCCCCCCGTTTTCCTTCACTACGCCTGCCAGCCATTCCGCCGTACACAGATGCTGTGCATAGAGCCGTGCTCATGTTCAACCAGGTGCGCCCACAGCCTCACTGCCCATGAATTGCACACATGCCATGCGCACGTGGCATGCGCACGTGGCATGCGCACATGGCATCTCCTCCATGGCCTGTTTGTTCACCTCTGTTGTTGTTGTCGTTATAAGTCCGGCTGAGACTTGCTGAATCGTGCTTGTGTGACCGTATTGCATTGCATCGGGCCTTTTCGTCGCCTCCGGCCACCCCTTGACCTCTGCACTCTCTGCTCATTTACTTCTTATCCCACCATCTCTGTGAACCGCACACCACCACTCAACTCATGCAGGCACAGGAGGGAGGGCGGCTGCTGCTGCTGCCGTTCAGCACACTCTTCCAGTACCTCCAGGTGAGCATGAGCCTTCCATTGGAATGACTTGTGAGTCGACTCAAACGCCACCTCGTTGCTGCTGTTGCTGCCGTTCAGCACGCTCTTCCAGTACCTCCAGGTGAGCATGAGCCTTCCCTTGGAATGACTTGTGAGTCGACTCAAACGCCACCTCGTTGCTGCTGTTGCTGCCGCTCAGCACGCTCTTCCAGTACCTCCAGGTGAGCATGAGCCTTCCCTTGGAATGACTTGTGAGTCGACTCAAACGCCACCTCGTTGCTGCTGTTGCTGCCGTTGAGCACGCTCTTCCAGTACCTCCAGGTGAGCATGAGCCTTCCCTTGGAATGACTTGTGAGTCGACTCAAAGGCCACCTCGTTGCTGCTGTTGCTGCCGTTCAGCACGCTCTTCCAGTACCTCCAGGTGAGCATGAGCCTTCCCTTGGAATGACTTGTGAGTCGACTCAAAGGCCACCTCGTTGCTGCTGTTGCTGCCGTTCAGCACGCTCTTCCAGTACCTCCAGGTGTGACGCCCCTCGCAATTGTTTCCGTCAAGATAGCATCCCTCCCAACAGTATTCGTCCACATAGAGATTTCCCAGAGCCTCTCCAGATTGCAGCGTTACACGCTCAGGCATGAGGTAGTTCACATCACAGCCTTTCTCAGGTGGGGTTTCCACCCGGCCATCGATGCTCATGTGGGTGCGACCTGCAATCTCCTTAGGATAATGACGCTCTGACCCTCCATGTTGCACGCCCAGAAGATTCCATCGACACTCGAGTTCATGACTTGTGAGCCTCTCCACCATGACTGCCACGGGCGGGCGCTAATCATCCGTCCGCTCTTGCCTTTTTCTAGAAACAAGCTCACAAGCTTAACCCCTTCCAATTGGACCGTGTGCCAGTCTCTGCATCACTCTGGTGCCTGCCATCCTCTCTCCACACCGCCCATTGCTCGTCTTTCACCTCCTCCACTTTCTTCCGTGTTCTCAGCTGCTTCGCCTGGTGGCAGAAGCCTTGAACCCCATTGGTCCACGTGGCATGGTCTACCTGGCAGCAGCAGTGTCCGACTTCTTTGTCCCCTGGCCATCCATGGTACGCCCTGACCCCTAAACCCCTTCATCTCTAAACCTCAACCCCTCTCCATAGTGCTCCCTAATTCTAAACCCTAAGACTTCAACCATCCATGGTTCACTCTGCTCGTCATGCCATGCCATACCATACCATGCCCCCCTGCTATCACATGCCCTTCTGATACGCCCACCACCCACGCCATGCGAGCCCGTGTATCCCTTCCCGATTGCCTTAGCAGGACTCGCAAGGCAGGCCCTCTGCCCAGCAGTGTTCCCGTGCAGGCCTTGGCATCCAATCCAAGCTGCCCCCTCATGGATCCCTCCCCCGCTCCCCGCCACCCTACCCTCCCCCTTCCCCGGCAGGTGTAGCATAAGATCTAGGCAGGGCGGGCCCGCAGTACGCTGATTATTCCCGCCACGGCAGCACATGCCACTCGCACCCCATTGCACCTCAACCTCCCCTGCCTTCTCCTCAGGCGGAGCACAAGATCCAGTTGGCATTCTTTTTCCTCTCCAACCCACTGCTCTGCACACTCCCCTCCTCGTCCCCACCTCCCTCCTCCCCCCGCCCACCTCCTCCAGATGGAGCACAAGATTCAGTCGGGCAGTACATCAGTTATTCCCGCCGTGTCAGCACATGCCATTCGCACCCAACTGCACCTCACCCTCTCCCCCCTTCTTCTTCCTCCCCCACTGGCAGGTGGAGCATAAGATCCAGTCGGGTGCAGGCCCTCTAGACATCCACCTGGCTCGAGTGCCCAAGATGATTCCCCTCCTGCGCTCCCTCTGGTGCCCTCAAGCCCTCCTCGTCTCCTTCAAGGTCCGCCTCCCACCCGCACTCCCTCTCGCCTCTCCAATCCTCTGCTTCCACCGCCCTGACTCCCTCTCTCTTGCCGCACTCTATTCGAACCTCTTCATCATGCGGGATGCGCCGTTTACGATTCCACCCTTGCAGCGCTCACACGATTCCACCCTTGCAGCGCTCACACGATTCCACCCTTGCAGCGCTCACACGATTCCACCCTTGCAGCGCTCACACGATTCCACCCTTGCCTGAAGGGGAATCCTGTGAGCGCTGCAATGGCGGGGCAGGACCACCTGGGTTCTGTGTTTCCTTTTGAGTCGACTCAAAAGCAATGGTGGTGCAGCTGGATTCTGTGTTTCCAGTGGTGGACTGCACAGGGGAGAGCAGACGAAGACGTGGCAGCATCTTCTCAAACCCTTGACCCAACCCCCTCCCCATTCTACCAGTTAAGGCGGACAGCAGCATCTTACCCCCCCCTACCCTACCCACCCCCACCACCACTTCCCCCCACCCCTTATCCGCTCCTGCCCCCCTCCAGCTGGAGACGGGCAGCAACATCCTAACAACCCCACCTCCCTCTCCCCCAACCTCCCCCCCCCCCCCCCCCGTTCCTCCCCTGCTCCAGCTGGAGACGGACAGCAGCATTCTGCTCAGCAAGGCGCGCTCTGCCCTGCACAAGAATCACGTGCACGCCGTGGTGGCTAATGAGCTGCTGACAGGTGGCAGCAAGGTGGTGCTGGTGACGGAAGAGGGGGAGGAGGTGATAGAGCGGGGCGAGGGGGGCGCGGGGAGGGAAGGGGGTGGAGAGGGGAAGGGAGCACTGGGGGATGTGGAGGAGCCACTGGTGAGGCTGCTAGCCGCCATGCACCACACGCACTGCCAGGAGGGCTGATGGCTTGGGGGCTTGAGTGTCTGAGGCTTTGTGGCTTAGTGGCGCCTGTTATAGTAAGAAGCTATGGGTGCAGGTGACGGGGCGAGGGGAGGAGGTGAACAGAGTGGGGCATGGGGGTTGTGGTGTGGGAGTGGGGCATGGGGGTTGTGGTGTGGGAGTGGGGCATGGGGGTTGTGGTGTGGGAGTGGGGCATGGGGGTTGTGGTGTGGGAGTGGGGCATGGGGGTTGTGGTGTGGGAGTGGGGCATGGGGGTTGTGGTGTGGGAGTGGGGCATGGGGGTTGTGGTGTGGGAGTGGGGCATGGGGGTTGTGGTGTGGGAGTGGGGCATGGGGGTTGTGGTGTGGGAGTGGGGCATGGGGGTTGTGGTGTGGGAGTGGGGCATGGGGGTTGTGGTGTGGGAGTGGGGCATGGGGGTTGTGGTGTGGGAGTGGGGCATGGGGGTTGTGGTGTGGGAGTGGGGCATGGGGGTTGTGGTGTGGGAGTGGGGCATGGGGGTTGTGGTGTGGGAGTGGGGCATGGGGGTTGTGGTGTGGGAGTGGGGCATGGGGGTTGTGGTGTGGGAGTGGGGCATGGGGGTTGTGGTGTGGGAGTGGGGCATGGGGGTTGTGGTGTGGGAGTGGGGCATGGGGGTTGTGGTGTGGGAGTGGGGCATGGGGGTTGTGGTGTGGGAGTGGGGCATGGGGGTTGTGGTGTGGGAGTGGGGCATGGGGGTTGTGGTGTGGGAGTGGGGCATGGGGGTTGTGGTGTGGGAGTGGGGCATGGGGGTTGTGGTGTGGGAGTGGGGCATGGGGGTTGTGGTGTGGGAGTGGGGCATGGGGGTTGTGGTGTGGGAGTGGGGCATGGGGGTTGTGGTGTGGGAGTGGGGCATGGGGGTTGTGGTGTGGGAGTGGGGCATGGGGTTGTGGTGTGGGAGTGGGGCATGGGGGTTGTGGTGTGGGAGTGGGGCATGGGGGTTGTGGTGTGGGAGTGGGGCATGGGGGTTGTGGTGTGGGAGTGGGGCATGGGGGTTGTGGTGTGGGAGTGGGGCATGGGGGTTGTGGTGTGGGAGTGGGGCATGGGGGTTGTGGTGTGGGAGTGGGGCATGGGGGTTGTGGTGTGGGAGTGGGGCATGGGGGTTGTGGTGTGGGAGTGGGGCATGGGGGTTGTGGTGTGGGAGTGGGGCATGGGGGTTGTGGTGTGGGAGTGGGGCATGGGGGTTGTGGTGTGGGAGTGGGGCATGGGGGTTGTGGTGTGGGAGTGGGGCATGGGGGTTGTGGTGTGGGAGTGGGGCATGGGGGTTGTGGTGTGGGAGTGGGGCATGGGGGTTGTGGTGTGGGAGTGGGGCATGGGGGTTGTGGTGTGGGAGTGGGGCATGGGGGTTGTGGTGTGGGAGTGGGGCATGGGGGTTGTGGTGTGGGAGTGGGGCATGGGGGTTGTGGTGTGGGAGTGGGGCATGGGGGTTGTGGTGTGGGAGTGGGGCATGGGGGTTGTGGTGTGGGAGTGGGGCATGGGGGTTGTGGTGTGGGAGTGGGGCATGGGGGTTGTGGTGTGGGAGTGGGGCATGGGGGTTGTGGTGTGGGAGTGGGGCATGGGGGTTGTGGTGTGGGAGTGGGGCATGGGGGTTGTGGTGTGGGAGTGGGGCATGGGGGTTGTGGTGTGGGAGTGGGGCATGGGGGTTGTGGTGTGGGAGTGGGGCATGGGGGTTGTGGTGTGGGAGTGGGGCATGGGGGTTGTGGTGTGGGAGTGGGGCATGGGGGTTGTGGTGTGGGAGTGGGGCATGGGGGTTGTGGTGTGGGAGTGGGGCATGGGGGTTGTGGTGTGGGAGTGGGGCATGGGGGTTGTGGTGTGGGAGTGGGGCATGGGGGTTGTGGTGTGGGAGTGGGGCATGGGGGTTGTGGTGTGGGAGTGGGGCATGGGGGTTGTGGTGTGGGAGTGGGGCATGGGGGTTGTGGTGTGGGAGTGGGGCATGGGGGTTGTGGTGTGGGAGTGGGGCATGGGGGTTGTGGTGTGGGAGTGGGGCATGGGGGTTGTGGTGTGGGAGTGGGGCATGGGGGTTGTGGTGTGGGAGTGGGGCATGGGGGTTGTGGTGTGGGAGTGGGGCATGGGGGTTGTGGTGTGGGAGTGGGGCATGGGGGTTGTGGTGTGGGAGTGGGGCATGGGGGTTGTGGTGTGGGAGTGGGGCATGGGGGTTGTGGTGTGGGAGTGGGGCATGGGGGTTGTGGTGTGGGAGTGGGGCATGGGGGTTGTGGTGTGGGAGTGGGGCATGGGGGTTGTGGTGTGGGAGTGGGGCATGGGGGTTGTGGTGTGGGAGTGGGGCATGGGGGTTGTGGTGTGGGAGTGGGGCATGGGGGTTGTGGTGTGGGAGTGGGGCATGGGGGTTGTGGTGTGGGAGTGGGGCATGGGGGTTGTGGTGTGGGAGTGGGGCATGGGGGTTGTGGTGTGGGAGTGGGGCATGGGGGTTGTGGTGTGGGAGTGGGGCATGGGGGTTGTGGTGTGGGAGTGGGGCATGGGGGTTGTGGTGTGGGAGTGGGGCATGGGGGTTGTGGTGTGGGAGTGGGGCATGGGGGTTGTGGTGTGGGAGTGGGGCATGGGGGTTGTGGTGTGGGAGTGGGGCATGGGGGTTGTGGTGTGGGAGTGGGGCATGGGGGTTGTGGTGTGGGAGTGGGGCATGGGGGTTGTGGTGTGGGAGTGGGGCATGGGGGTTGTGGTGTGGGAGTGGGGCATGGGGGTTGTGGTGTGGGAGTGGGGCATGGGGGTTGTGGTGTGGGAGTGGGGCATGGGGGTTGTGGTGTGGGAGTGGGGCATGGGGGTTGTGGTGTGGGAGTGGGGCATGGGGGTTGTGGTGTGGGAGTGGGGCATGGGGGTTGTGGTGTGGGAGTGGGGCATGGGGGTTGTGGTGTGGGAGTGGGGCATGGGGGTTGTGGTGTGGGAGTGGGGCATGGGGGTTGTGGTGTGGGAGTGGGGCATGGGGGTTGTGGTGTGGGAGTGGGGCATGGGGGTTGTGGTGTGGGAGTGGGGCATGGGGGTTGTGGTGTGGGAGTGGGGCATGGGGGTTGTGGTGTGGGAGTGGGGCATGGGGGTTGTGGTGTGGGAGTGGGGCATGGGGGTTGTGGTGTGGGAGTGGGGCATGGGGGTTGTGGTGTGGGAGTGGGGCATGGGGGTTGTGGTGTGGGAGTGGGGCATGGGGGTTGTGGTGTGGGAGTGGGGCATGGGGGTTGTGGTGTGGGAGTGGGGCATGGGGGTTGTGGTGTGGGAGTGGGGCATGGGGGTTGTGGTGTGGGAGTGGGGCATGGGGGTTGTGGTGTGGGAGTGGGGCATGGGGGTTGTGGTGTGGGAGTGGGGCATGGGGGTTGTGGTGTGGGAGTGGGGCATGGGGGTTGTGGTGTGGGAGTGGGGCATGGGGGTTGTGGTGTGGGAGTGGGGCATGGGGGTTGTGGTGTGGGAGTGGGGCATGGGGGTTGTGGTGTGGGAGTGGGGCATGGGGGTTGTGGTGTGGGAGTGGGGCATGGGGGTTGTGGTGTGGGAGTGGGGCATGGGGGTTGTGGTGTGGGAGTGGGGCATGGGGGTTGTGGTGTGGGAGTGGGGCATGGGGGTTGTGGTGTGGGAGTGGGGCATGGGGGTTGTGGTGTGGGAGTGGGGCATGGGGGTTGTGGTGTGGGAGTGGGGCATGGGGGTTGTGGTGTGGGAGTGGGGCATGGGGGTTGTGGTGTGGGAGTGGGGCATGGGGGTTGTGGTGTGGGAGTGGGGCATGGGGGTTGTGGTGTGGGAGTGGGGCATGGGGGTTGTGGTGTGGGAGTGGGGCATGGGGGTTGTGGTGTGGGAGTGGGGCATGGGGGTTGTGGTGTGGGAGTGGGGCATGGGGGTTGTGGTGTGGGAGTGGGGCATGGGGGTTGTGGTGTGGGAGTGGGGCATGGGGGTTGTGGTGTGGGAGTGGGGCATGGGGGTTGTGGTGTGGGAGTGGGGCATGGGGGTTGTGGTGTGGGAGTGGGGCATGGGGGTTGTGGTGTGGGAGTGGGGCATGGGGGTTGTGGTGTGGGAGTGGGGCATGGGGGTTGTGGTGTGGGAGTGGGGCATGGGGGTTGTGGTGTGGGAGTGGGGCATGGGGGTTGTGGTGTGGGAGTGGGGCATGGGGGTTGTGGTGTGGGAGTGGGGCATGGGGGTTGTGGTGTGGGAGTGGGGCATGGGGGTTGTGGTGTGGGAGTGGGGCATGGGGGTTGTGGTGTGGGAGTGGGGCATGGGGGTTGTGGTGTGGGAGTGGGGCATGGGGGTTGTGGTGTGGGAGTGGGGCATGGGGGTTGTGGTGTGGGAGTGGGGCATGGGGGTTGTGGTGTGGGAGTGGGGCATGGGGGTTGTGGTGTGGGAGTGGGGCATGGGGGTTGTGGTGTGGGAGTGGGGCATGGGGGTTGTGGTGTGGGAGTGGGGCATGGGGGTTGTGGTGTGGGAGTGGGGCATGGGGGTTGTGGTGTGGGAGTGGGGCATGGGGGTTGTGGTGTGGGAGTGGGGCATGGGGGTTGTGGTGTGGGAGTGGGGCATGGGGGTTGTGGTGTGGGAGTGGGGCATGGGGGTTGTGGTGTGGGAGTGGGGCATGGGGGTTGTGGTGTGGGAGTGGGGCATGGGGGTTGTGGTGTGGGAGTGGGGCATGGGGGTTGTGGTGTGGGAGTGGGGCATGGGGGTTGTGGTGTGGGAGTGGGGCATGGGGGTTGTGGTGTGGGAGTGGGGCATGGGGGTTGTGGTGTGGGAGTGGGGCATGGGGGTTGTGGTGTGGGAGTGGGGCATGGGGGTTGTGGTGTGGGAGTGGGGCATGGGGGTTGTGGTGTGGGAGTGGGGCATGGGGGTTGTGGTGTGGGAGTGGGGCATGGGGGTTGTGGTGTGGGAGTGGGGCATGGGGGTTGTGGTGTGGGAGTGGGGCATGGGGGTTGTGGTGTGGGAGTGGGGCATGGGGGTTGTGGTGTGGGAGTGGGGCATGGGGGTTGTGGTGTGGGAGTGGGGCATGGGGGTTGTGGTGTGGGAGTGGGGCATGGGGGTTGTGGTGTGGGAGTGGGGCATGGGGGTTGTGGTGTGGGAGTGGGGCATGGGGGTTGTGGTGTGGGAGTGGGGCATGGGGGTTGTGGTGTGGGAGTGGGGCATGGGGGTTGTGGTGTGGGAGTGGGGCATGGGGGTTGTGGTGTGGGAGTGGGGCATGGGGGTTGTGGTGTGGGAGTGGGGCATGGGGGTTGTGGTGTGGGAGTGGGGCATGGGGGTTGTGGTGTGGGAGTGGGGCATGGGGGTTGTGGTGTGGGAGTGGGGCATGGGGGTTGTGGTGTGGGAGTGGGGCATGGGGGTTGTGGTGTGGGAGTGGGGCATGGGGGTTGTGGTGTGGGAGTGGGGCATGGGGGTTGTGGTGTGGGAGTGGGGCATGGGGGTTGTGGTGTGGGAGTGGGGCATGGGGGTTGTGGTGTGGGAGTGGGGCATGGGGGTTGTGGTGTGGGAGTGGGGCATGGGGGTTGTGGTGTGGGAGTGGGGCATGGGGGTTGTGGTGTGGGAGTGGGGCATGGGGGTTGTGGTGTGGGAGTGGGGCATGGGGGTTGTGGTGTGGGAGTGGGGCATGGGGGTTGTGGTGTGGGAGTGGGGCATGGGGGTTGTGGTGTGGGAGTGGGGCATGGGGGTTGTGGTGTGGGAGTGGGGCATGGGGGTTGTGGTGTGGGAGTGGGGCATGGGGGTTGTGGTGTGGGAGTGGGGCATGGGGGTTGTGGTGTGGGAGTGGGGCATGGGGGTTGTGGTGTGGGAGTGGGGCATGGGGGTTGTGGTGTGGGAGTGGGGCATGGGGGTTGTGGTGTGGGAGTGGGGCATGGGGGTTGTGGTGTGGGAGTGGGGCATGGGGGTTGTGGTGTGGGAGTGGGGCATGGGGGTTGTGGTGTGGGAGTGGGGCATGGGGGTTGTGGTGTGGGAGTGGGGCATGGGGGTTGTGGTGTGGGAGTGGGGCATGGGGGTTGTGGTGTGGGAGTGGGGCATGGGGGTTGTGGTGTGGGAGTGGGGCATGGGGGTTGTGGTGTGGAGTGGGGCATGGGGGTTGTGGTGTGGGAGTGGGGCATGGGGGTTGTGGTGTGGGAGTGGGGCATGGGGGTTGTGGTGTGGGAGTGGGGCATGGGGGTTGTGGTGTGGGAGTGGGGCATGGGGGTTGTGGTGTGGGAGTGGGGCATGGGGGTTGTGGTGTGGGAGTGGGGCATGGGGGTTGTGGTGTGGGAGTGGGGCATGGGGGTTGTGGTGTGGGAGTGGGGCATGGGGGTTGTGGTGTGGGAGTGGGGCATGGGGGTTGTGGTGTGGGAGTGGGGCATGGGGGTTGTGGTGTGGGAGTGGGGCATGGGGGTTGTGGTGTGGGAGTGGGGCATGGGGGTTGTGGTGTGGGAGTGGGGCATGGGGGTTGTGGTGTGGGAGTGGGGCATGGGGGTTGTGGTGTGGGAGTGGGGCATGGGGGTTGTGGTGTGGGAGTGGGGCATGGGGGTTGTGGTGTGGGAGTGGGGCATGGGGGTTGTGGTGTGGGAGTGGGGCATGGGGGTTGTGGTGTGGGAGTGGGGCATGGGGGTTGTGGTGTGGGAGTGGGGCATGGGGGTTGTGGTGTGGGAGTGGGGCATGGGGGTTGTGGTGTGGGAGTGGGGCATGGGGGTTGTGGTGTGGGAGTGGGGCATGGGGGTTGTGGTGTGGGAGTGGGGCATGGGGGTTGTGGTGTGGGAGTGGGGCATGGGGGTTGTGGTGTGGGAGTGGGGCATGGGGGTTGTGGTGTGGGAGTGGGGCATGGGGGTTGTGGTGTGGGAGTGGGGCATGGGGGTTGTGGTGTGGGAGTGGGGCATGGGGGTTGTGGTGTGGGAGTGGGGCATGGGGGTTGTGGTGTGGGAGTGGGGCATGGGGGTTGTGGTGTGGGAGTGGGGCATGGGGGTTGTGGTGTGGGAGTGGGGCATGGGGGTTGTGGTGTGGGAGTGGGGCATGGGGTTGTGGTGTGGGAGTGGGGCATGGGGGTTGTGGTGTGGGAGTGGGGCATGGGGGTTGTGGTGTGGGAGTGGGGCATGGGGGTTGTGGTGTGGGAGTGGGGCATGGGGGTTGTGGTGTGGGAGTGGGGCATGGGGGGTTGTGGTGTGGGAGTGGGGCATGGGGGTTGTGGTGTGGGAGTGGGGCATGGGGGTTGTGGTGTGGGAGTGGGGCATGGGGGTTGTGGTGTGGGAGTGGGGCATGGGGGTTGTGGTGTGGGAGTGGGGCATGGGGGTTGTGGTGTGGGAGTGGGGCATGGGGGTTGTGGTGTGGGAGTGGGGCATGGGGGTTGTGGTGTGGGAGTGGGGCATGGGGGTTGTGGTGTGGGAGTGGGGCATGGGGGTTGTGGTGTGGGAGTGGGGCATGGGGGTTGTGGTGTGGGAGTGGGGCATGGGGGTTGTGGTGTGGGAGTGGGGCATGGGGGTTGTGGTGTGGGAGTGGGGCATGGGGGTTGTGGTGTGGGAGTGGGGCATGGGGGTTGTGGTGTGGGAGTGGGGCATGGGGGTTGTGGTGTGGGAGTGGGGCATGGGGGTTGTGGTGTGGGAGTGGGGCATGGGGGTTGTGGTGTGGGAGTGGGGCATGGGGGTTGTGGTGTGGGAGTGGGGCATGGGGGTTGTGGTGTGGGAGTGGGGCATGGGGGTTGTGGTGTGGGAGTGGGGCATGGGGGTTGTGGTGTGGGAGTGGGGCATGGGGGTTGTGGTGTGGGAGTGGGGCATGGGGGTTGTGGTGTGGGAGTGGGGCATGGGGGTTGTGGTGTGGGAGTGGGGCATGGGGGTTGTGGTGTGGGAGTGGGGCATGGGGGTTGTGGTGTGGGAGTGGGGCATGGGGGTTGTGGTGTGGGAGTGGGGCATGGGGGTTGTGGTGTGGGAGTGGGGCATGGGGGTTGTGGTGTGGGAGTGGGGCATGGGGTTGTGGTGTGGTGGGGCATGGGGGTTGTGGTGTGGGAGTGGGGCATGGGGGTTGTGGTGTGGGAGTGGGGCGGGCATGACGCATGGGCAGTGGGGGATGTGGAGGAGCCACTGGTGAGGCTGCTAGCCGCCATGCACCACACGCACTGCCAGGGCGGCTGATGGCTTGACCCTTTGGGGCTTTGAGGTGCCTGTACTGGCAAACAGCTGTGAGCCCTGTTGATGGGCGAGGGGGAGGAGGTGATAGAGTTGGGCGAGGGGGAGGTGGGGTTGCAGACGTGGAGGGACCGCTGGTGAGGCTGCTAGCCGCCATGCACCACACGCACTGCCAGGGCGGCTGATTGTTTTGGGCTTTGGGGTGCCTGCGATAGCAAGCAGCCGTGGTTGCAGGTGATAGCGAAGTGGAGGAGGTGACAGTGGGGGGTGTGGGTGGGGGGGAAGAGGGCACGGTGTGGGGGCAGCGGGGGATGTGGAGGAGCCGCTGGTGAGGCTGCTGGCTGCCATGCACCACACGCACTGCCGGGGAAGGAGGTGACAGACCGTGGCAAGGGGGAGAGGGGGAAGCAGGGCCGGGGAGTAGAGGGGGGGCAGGGCCAGGGAGTAGAGGGGGGGCAGGGCCAGGGAGTAGAGGGGGGGCAGGGCCGGGGGGAGAGTGGGGGGCAGGGCCGGGGGGAGAGTGGGGGGCAGGGCCGGGGGGAGAGTGGGGGGCAGGGCCGGGGGGAGAGTGGGGGGCAGGGCCGGGGAGGATGGCACGCGAGGGGGAGGCGCTGGTGAAGCTTCTGGCAGCCATGCATGACAAGCACTGCCAGGGGGCTGACGCTTTGAGTGCCTGAGGGTACCGTATGTGCCGCTCATGCTTCAGGGAGGCGCCTGTAGCAGCATGCAAGTGTGCGTGAGTTTTTTTTTTCATCCTGCTGGATTTGAGTTGACTCAAAGACCGTGCAAGGGATGGCATTAGGGGTTTTGACAGTCAGCTGGTAGCTACTGCGTTGCCTGCGCGAAAGCTGCCCTATCTGCTTGCCTGCACTGCTGGATGGGTTGTTGTGCAGGTGCCAATTGAGTGCATACCGGTGTAACAAATCAATTCACACAGGTTCTTGCTTTTGCCTGTACTGCCTCTACACAATGTGCTACAAGTTGAATAAACGAAATTACAGATTAATTTAGGACACTACCGGTACCACTGCATCCAATGCGAGACATGACGTGTCTTTCCCTAAACTGGCAGTCAGTAAGGCAGCATGTCCTCTGGCTGTAGGGGGGAGCTATTCTATAAATGCAAGGCACGGGAGGGAGGAACGGGAGAGAGCGATGGGACAAGTGTCACACGTGCGGCCATTGAGTGGCAGTCAGTAGGGCGGCTTGTAGCCTTGCTGTGGGGGAGGGGGATACCCGCTTGGCTGGGACGAGTAGCCACCCTGCTGTGTGGGATAACCGGCGTGCTGTGGCGGGTAGCCGGCAGGTTGGGAGGAATAACCACCCTGCTGTGGCGGGTAACCTCCGGGTTGAGAAGAATAACTGCCCTGTTGTGGAGGGTAACCACCCTGTTGATTCGGCTGTGGGGGATAACCACCCTGTTGAGGGGGGTAACCACCCTGCTGAGGAGGGTAACCACTCTGCTGCCCATACCCCCTTGAGGCGGCCGCGGATACCCACCCTCTTGGGAAGGGAACTGGTCAGGTGCAGGGGGGGCGGAGGGCGCGGTGGAATAGCTGGAAGGGGGGGCACCAGGATACGGCTGCTGCTGCTGCTGCTGCTGCTGCTGCTGCTGCTGCTGCTGCTGCTGGTGCTGCTGCTGCTGCTGCTGCTGCTGCTGCTGCTGCTGGTGCTGCTGCTGGTGGTAGTAGGGGGGCGGTTGCTGCTGGCCGTACGGCGGTGGCTGTTGCTGTTGCTGTTGCTGGTACCCCATGCCCATGCCCGCAGCCGCAGCAGCGTCCATCTCGAGCACTTTTGGTGGGGGAGGCAGCGGTGGGGTGGGTGGCATGCGGCCTATGCGCTTGCTGCGAGCAGCACAGCACATGAGGGGAGGGGGAAGAGGGGGTGGAAGGAGGGAAATGGAGATGCATGTGAAGGCTCATGGGAGAGGTGAATAGGGATGAGGGAACAGTGAAGCCTTCCTCTCCCTCATTGAAGGGTAAAAACACTACAGCTCCATTGCACCCCAAATGAATGCACGGAGGAAAAAAACGCACCCTTTTAACTTCCCCATGAACCCCAGTATCACCTATCCTCATCCCAAAACACTCTTAACTCACCCCTCTCTCTCACCCCTGTCCCTCACCCCACCCATCTTCCACTCACCCCAGCGTGCCCATCTCGCTGCATGCCTTGAACCACAGCAGCACCTCCATCAGTGCACTCAGCACAAAGCTCAGAAGCCCACACTTCTGTGCATCTAGCACTCACCACAACACGCCCTGCACTCACCACAACACACCCATCTTGCTGCCCACACGCCCGCCACTCACCCGAGAGTGCCCGTCTCGCTGCAGGCCTTGAACTGCAACCGCGCCTCCATCAGTGCACTCAGCGCAAAGCGAAGCACAGCAGCCCACCCTTCCATACCTCCCCCACTCAACCCAACACACCCATCTTGCTGCCCTCACCCCCTTCCTTCAACCCACCTCTCACCCACTCACCCCAAAGTGCCCATCTCGCTGCATGCTTTGAACTGCAGCGGCACCTCCATCAGCGCACTCAGCGCAAAGCGCACCGCCTTGTGCTCGTGCGGGCCCGGCGCTGCCAGGATCTGCGAGCAGTCCACAAACTGGGGGGAGGAGAACAGGGTGGGAGAGGGTAAAGGGGAGTTGAATAAAGGAAAAAGACCTGGAAAGCGCACCGCCTTGTGCTCGTGCAGTCCTGGTGCCGGCAGGATCTGCGAGCAGTCCACGGAGTGGGGCGGGAAGGCAGAGAGAAGTGTGGGGAAGAGGACTGTTGGAAGGGACATGGGCAATGGAGAGCGAGGGTGAACTAAAGACGGGACGAGTGTGGAGTGCGGTAGAAGGGCGGAGGAGTTGCAAGCTGCGGCGATACGTTCCATGCGGAAGTGGCAAAGCAGGAGGAGAGGGAAAGGGACAGGGTGTGTGGCAGTGTGTGTCATGCGGCTGCACCTGTGAGCTAACAGCCATGCCATCTTTCGCGACGCAACAAGGAGGCACCTCGACAGAGCAATGGACTGAGACAGTAACGAAGCGGAGCAGCAGGCAGCAAGAGCAGCAAAGGAGTGTAAAGGAGTGTAAAGGAGTGTAAAGGAGTGGGAGAGGCGTCGCGACCTGGAAATTGTCAAAGTTGCGCTGAGGCAGCCCGTCGTCAAAGCTGTGCATCACGTCCCATGGGCCGTCGCCCACCCCCACGAGTATAATGGAGAGCGCGTAGTTGCTGGCAGGAGGGTGTGGCGATGGCGTTGCAGCGTGCAAGGAGGGAGACAGACGGGCGAGAGAGGCGCGAGAAAGAGAGCACGGGGGGGGGAAAGGAGACAAAGAAGAAGAAGGGGGGAGAGCGAAAGGAGAGGAGAGGGGAGGCAGCGGGGGGAGAGGGGAGGCGGAGGGGGAGGGCGGAGAGAGGGAGGTGGAGAGAGGGAGGTGGAGAGAGGGGGACAGGAAAGGCAGGAGAGGGAGAGGGTGAGTACCTGGAAGTTGTCGAAGGCCCTGGCCGGCAGCAGGTCGTCAAAGCCGTGCATCACATCCCATGGCCCGTCGCCCACCCCCACCAGCACTATGGACAGAGCGTAGTTGCTGCAGTGAGTGGGGGAAGGAGGGTGCAGGAAGAGGGGACAAATGTGTGAGATGGGGCAGGTGGTTGTCAAAGCTGTGCACCACAACCCATGGACCGTCGCCCGCACCCATGACCACTATGGGGAGTGCATGATTGCTGGTGAGGAAAGGGGGAACGGGAAGGGGGGGAATGGGAGAGGGGAAGGGGAGAGCGTGGGGTAGTGGGAGAGGGATTGGGTGAAAGACAATAGAGTGAGATGGCGGTAGTGGAGAGAGAAGTGAGTAAAGAGGGGATGAGAGACTTGCGAACGCGAGGACGGGTTCATGCACTACGATGGGGGGAGGGGAGAGAAAGAGGCCGGGGAAAAATTGGAGAGAAAAGGGAGAAAAGGTCCATCATCCCACCCCAATGCACCCCAATGCACCCCAATGCACCCCAATGCACCCCAGTGCACCCCAGTGCACCCCAGTGCACCCCAGTGCACCCCAGTGCACCCCTGAGAAGAGCCTCACCTGGCGGCAACGATGGCGTCCACAGTGGCGCGCTCCTGCTTGCTCAGCTGCCCGGGCGGCACGTCTGCACTGCGCGTCACCTGGTGGAGGGGGGATGGGGACAGGAGGCCATTCGTGCAAAGGGACAGAAGGGGGGAGGGAGGTGAAGGATTGAGGTCAATGAGCGAGCAAACAAGGGAGGATGTGCGGGATCAAAGGAGGTCACGGACGGGGGGCACGAGGAGTCATGGGGTGGGGGACACGAGGGGCCATGGGTTGGGGGGCACGAGGGGCACCACCCCACACAGCACCACACCGCACCTGGCCGTCAGCAATGATGAGCAGCACGTGGTAGTTGCCTCCGCTCTCCTCCACTATGCGCACTGCCGCCTCTATTGCCGGGGCAAAGGACGTGGGGCCTGGGGCGGGGGACAGCAGTGGGAAGAGAGAAAGACAGAGAGGTGTCAGCGGGTGACGTGTGAGTCGACTCACAAGCCGCTCTCCTCCACTATGCGCTCCGCTGCCAGGTGCAAAGGACGTGGGGCCTAGGCGGGGGCGAGAGGGGGAGAGGGAGATGGAAGGGCGGCGGCCGGGTGGGGGGGAGGGAGCATGAGAGGAGGTAAGCAGAGAAGAGGTAAGGAAGCGGAAGGGAATGCAAGATGTGGGATGAGAGAGGGACACAGTGGGAGTGTGGGATGGGAAATGAAACATGGGGGACCAGAAGGGAGGAGGCAGCAGCAGCAGCAGCGCACCTGAGAGCTTGACGTGGGGAGCGATGGCGCGGTAGCGGGCGAGCGCCTCTGCAATGCCGTTGCAGGGGCGGTTGTCCGGGTTGAATGAAAACACTGCCTTGTCATGCGTTGTGGCTGCTCAACGGGGATGAAGGGAAAGGGTGGGGGACGGAAGGAGGTCGGTGGAGGGAATGGAGGGGAATGGGTGGTGGACGCGTGAGAGTCAAAGCCAGGCTCACTCACTCGGTGGCAGACGCTCGCATATGGTCGCAGGTGTGAAAGCTGGGGGCGCACACACACACAGACGGTGCAGACATGCATGATGCATTCACTGAGCACGCACACCGTCGCAACAGGAAGAGAGGTGACTGACCGTCACCGAAACCGTAGCAGGGGATGAGGTTGTCCTCGTCGAAGGGCTCAAGCGTCTCCCCGATGATCTGAATGGCCTGCTCGTACGGATTCATGTGCGGGCCTATTGCGTGTAGACACCGCCCACCGAATGTGTGCTTGCCTGCAGGATGGAAACGAAATGGGCGCGTGTTGGTGAGTGCAGAACAAGAGAGAGAGTGTGAGGCCAGGGTCGAGAGGAGTGGAGAAACGAAGCGAGATCTGAGTGGCTGGAATGGGGAGATCTGACCTGTCCATTCGTTGCTTTTGGTGAAATCAACGGCTACGATGAGATTGCTGGACTCCAGCCCCACCTCCCGCAGCTTCTCCTGCACCTGCGGGCGCACGAGCAGACGAGCAGACAAGCACATGAGCACATGAGCACATGTGGCAGGCGAGCAGACGAGTGAGCAGACAGGCGAGGGATGCAGGCAGGCAGGCAGGCGCGGGCAGGCGTACAGCCACACATGCGGCATTATGTGCATCCAGCGTTAGCCACCCGCGTCGCGCATGCAGCACGCGCCACGGCAGTCCAATAACCCCACGCCCCGCGCCTCCCATCCCCCTCGCCTCCCTTCCCCACCTGCTGCATGTCCCCGCTTCCTTCCTTCCCCCTCCTCTCACGTGTGCTCTGCTCGTCATCATCTCCCCTCCCCCTTTTTACTCCCCTTACCCACCCCCCCCCTACCTGCTGAATGTTTTGGAACGAGTCCGGAATAAATCCATACTTCTGCTGGAACGTCATCTGCGACCTCCCCCCGCCGCCGGCCCCCGGCGCCCCGCCATACCCCCCCGTCTGCCCATACCCCCCCGGCGCTCCGCCATAGCCCGCAGGCGGCGGCGCACCTGGCGCGTAGCCGCCCTGCGCGTACCCCGCGGGTGGGGGAGGGTATCCGGGCTGGCCGGCCGGCGGCGGGTGCGGCTGCTGCTTGCCCTTTTTAAAGAAGCCGAACATGAGGGACGCGCTGAATGACTTGAATGAAAGCGAGAGAGAGTGGTAACGACGGTGAGGAGGACGACGACGAGAGGACGAAATGAGAGGGTGAAATGAGAGGGTGAAATGAGAGGGCGAAAACGATGAACGCGAGGGAGCAAGAGGAAGGCGAGCGGCGAACGGATCGAGCGCTAGAAGATTTCGAGCTAGGTAGGTAAACTCGCGAGGGATCTTGATCACTGTAAGTCGCAATAGATTTTCGATTCGTATGAGTGGGAAACGACTTGAGGTGGCCGCAGGTATGTACTCGCCGCGAGGAGAGGCGATTTCGACGCGCGCTGCTGTTGGCGTCTCGCCCTCACGACGAGCCGAACAAACAAACACGACACGGATCGGGCGATGAGGGGCACGCTGCAGGCGCGTGAGACGCGTTAATAGTGAGCTGCGATGACGAGCGACAGTCTCCCTTCTCACGTTACTTGGATGGTGCTCGCGGCTTCACCTTGGGAGGGCAGTAGCTTCGGACGGACGTGCATGTGGGACAACGCGGATTGGTTTGAAATTGCAGTACTCTGCGGTCCTTTATTGTGGGAATTTCGATATAGAGTTGCACGACGAATTTTCCACATCCAAACATTGAGTATAGTTATTAAATATTTGCCACAAAGTTACACTAAACACAGCAGCCTGCCTATTCTTACAATGCCCAGCCGAAAGCACATGACTGCAGGCCAACTCAGAACTTCACATAAAACTCGTAACTACACATAGTATCAAATAAAACTAATTACTTTCCGGCCCACCTGCCGGCCTCCCCTCGTATGCAACACCAACTGCATCTCCACTGTGCTTCCCCATGTCTTCCCATCCAACCAGCTGCAAATAAGCAGCACATCATTCAGTCCCCCCTCTTCTCCCCCCAACCCCCCTCTCTCCCCCCCTTCCCCCCCCCCCCCTTCCACTCCACCACCCCTCTTTCCTTCCAGGGTGGTGAAATATGAAAAAAACCGGCTTGCACCGCACACACCCTAACCACCAGGAACCGTTGCCACACACTCCACTCTACTCGTAGTCGTTGCCATCCCTGGTGGTGCGGATGAGCGGCACGCCATCCTCCCGCCACTCCACCCGGCCGTCACACAGCGCTGCCACCACGCGCGCGTACAGTTGGTGCTCCTGATAACACAGACAGGAGGGGAGGGGGGGGTGATGTGGGATGTGTGGAAGGAAGGGGAGCCTAGCCTGATGCTGCACAGCGCTGCCACCACGCGCGCGTACAGTTGGTGCTCCTGATAACACAGACAGGAGGGGAGGGGGGGGTGATGTGGGATGTGTGGAAGGAAGGGGAGCCTAGCCTGATGCTGCACAGCGCTGCCACCACGCGCGCGTACAGTTGGTGCTCCTGATAACACAGACAGGAGGGGAGGGGGGGGTGATGTGGGATGTGTGGAAGGAAGGGGAGCCTAGCCTGATGCTGCACAGCGCTGCCACCACGCGCGCGTACAGTTGGTGCTCCTGATAACACAGACAGGAGGGGAGGGGGGGGTGATGTGGGATGTGTGGAAGGAAGGGGAGCCTAGCCTGATGCTGCACAGCGCTGCCACCACGCGCGCGTACAGTTGGTGCTCCTGATAACACAGACAGGAGGGGAGGGGGGGGGTGATGTGGGATGTGTGGAAGGAAGGGGAGCCTAGCCTGATGCTGCACAGCGCTGCCACCACGCGCGCGTACAGTTGGTGCTCCTGATAACACAGACAGGAGGGGAGGGGGGGGTGATGTGGGATGTGTGGAAGGAAGGGGAGCCTAGCCTGATGCTGCACAGCGCTGCCACCACGCGCGCGTACAGTTGGTGCTCCTGATAACACAGACAGGAGGGGAGGGGGGGGTGATGTGGGATGTGTGGAAGGAAGGGGAGCCTAGCCTGATGCTGCACAGCGCTGCCACCACGCGCGCGTACAGTTGGTGCTCCTGATAACACAGACAGGAGGGGAGGGGGGGGTGATGTGGGATGTGTGGAAGGAAGGGGAGCCTAGCCTGATGCTGCACAGCGCTGCCACCACGCGCGCGTACAGTTGGTGCTCCTGATAACACAGACAGGAGGGGAGGGGGGGGTGATGTGGGATGTGTGGAAGGAAGGGGAGCCTAGCCTGATGCTGCACAGCGCTGCCACCACGCGCGCGTACAGTTGGTGCTCCTGATAACACAGACAGGAGGGGAGGGGGGGGTGATGTGGGATGTGTGGAAGGAAGGGGAGCCTAGCCTGATGCTGCACAGCGCTGCCACCACGCGCGCGTACAGTTGGTGCTCCTGATAACACAGACAGGAGGGGAGGGGGGGGTGATGTGGGATGTGTGGAAGGAAGGGGAGCCTAGCCTGATGCTGCACAGCGCTGCCACCACGCGCGCGTACAGTTGGTGCTCCTGATAACACAGACAGGAGGGGAGGGGGGGGTGATGTGGGATGTGTGGAAGGAAGGGGATCCTAGCCTGATGCTGCACAGCGCTGCCACCACGCGCGCGTACAGTTGGTGCTCCTGATAACACAGACAGGAGGGGAGGGGGGGGTGATGTGGGATGTGTGGAAGGAAGGGGAGCCTAGCCTGATGCTGCACAGCGCTGCCACCACCCGCGCGTACAGTTGGTGCTCCTGATAACACAGACAGGAGGGGAGGGGGGGGTGATGTGGGATGTGTGGAAGGAAGGGGAGCCTAGCCTGATGCTGCACAGCGCTGCCACCACCCGCGCGTACAGTTGGTGCTGCTGAGGGCGCAGAGGGGATTGCCACACAGACATGGGGGTGAACGTGTGGGGTCAAGGACACATGGGGGAAGGCCATGTGGGCGTAAGGTGGATGTTTGAGAAGGAAGGGGTGAGGAAGAGGCCTCGCACCACTCTGCCATGGCCTCTCACCACGACTTCTCACCACTCTGCCATGACCTCACACCACTCTGCCATGACCTCACACCACTCTGCCATGACCTCACACCACTCTGCCATGACCTCACACCACTCTGCCATGACCTCACACCACTCTGCCATGGCCTCACACCACTAGCAGCACACGCAGCTAGCTCTTCCAGACGACCAGGTGGGTACAGGGGGCAGGGCGTGTATGTATGACAACAGCAAACCAGTGGCCTGGAAGACGGTGGAACCGGGCCTGATAATGAAGTGTGGTAACGGTAAGAGAGGGGAGGGAGCAGGTGTGAGCGTGCGAGAGTGGAGGGAGTGATTGGAGATGGTTGGGTTAAGACAAGTGCACCTGGGCGAGCACCCACCTGGGCGAGCACCCACCTGGGCGAGCACCCACCTGGGCGAGCACCCACCTGGGCGAGGACGCGCGCCTGCAGGGAGTGGGGGTCGTCGGAGGGCAGCACGGGCACTACCGCCTGCGCTGCTATGGGACCGTGGTCATAGCGCTCGTCCACAAAATGCACTGTTGGGCCTGATACCCTGGCAGGGAGGGTGGGGGGGAATGTGTGGGAGTGGGAGGGACGAATGAGTCCAGCACGGGCACCAATGCCTGTGCTGCTATGGGGCTGTGGTGGTACAGCTCGTCCACGAAATGAACTGTGGGGCGTGATACCCTGGCAGGGGGTTGGGGGGGGGTGTGGCAAGAGTGAGGGCGGCACGGGCACCACTGCCTGCGCTGCAATGGGGCCGTGGTCGTACCGCTCGTCTACAAAGTGCACCGTGGGACCTGATACCCTGTTCATGGAGGCGGGGTGTGGGAGATTGAGGGGGGAGAGGGGAGGGCAGTGGGAGCGAAGAGTGAGGGCGGCACGGGCACGACTGCATCCGCTGCAATGGGGCTGTGGCCGTGGCGCTCATCCACAAAATGCACTGTTGAGCGTGATACCCTGGCAGGGCGAGGTTCACATGGTTCACTGCAGTCCCTACTCGCACTAACACACCCTGCTACACCTCACCCGCAGCACACCAGCAGCACGCCCACCTTGCCCACCCGGTGCCAGAGGCAACGACAGCACGGTGCACGCACATGCACACAGAAGCCCGTGCCGCCCACCTGGCAATGTGACCTGTGCTGCACTAACCCACACCAGAGCAGCACACCAGAGCAGCCACAACACGGCAGCCCCATGAACCCACCTACCTCCAGAAGCAATGACAGCTTTGTGTTCGCGCATGCCGTAATATCCCTTGCCGACGAACGCAAGCAGCTGGGCGGGGCAGATGTTGAGGATGGGCACTCGGCAGCAGCAGCCCCCCTTACACGCACACACGCGCGCACCTGGCCCCGGAAGCAATGACAGCATGGTGAACGCGCATGCCATGGTAGCCCTTCACCAACCAGGCGAGGACTGCACTGCACCAACCCACAGCACACACCTCATAACACAGCAGCAGCAGCAGCAGCAGCCGCAGCCACACGCACGCGCACGCACCTAGCCCCAGAGGCAATGACTGCTTTGTGCACGCGCATGCCATAGTAGCCCTTGCCGCCGAATGCGGGCAGCAGAGCAGGGTGGATGTTGAGGATGGCTCGTGGAAACGCCTCCACCAGCGAGGCGGGCAGCAGCTTTAGATACCCCGCTAGCACTACGTAGTCCACCCCATGCTGCCTGCACAATCAGATGGGGGTGGAAGGGGTGCAGAACGGTTGGGTGAGGAACGACCCTGCCAGCGAGGCGGGCAGCAGCTTCAGATGCCCCGCCAGCACTATGTAGTCCACCCCGTGCTGCCTGGGCCGTGAGGGAGAGGGGAGAGGGTGGGTGGTGGAAGAGTGGGCAAGGGTGTGAAAGGCCAATCGCCAGCGAGGCAGGCAGCAGCTTCAGATACCCCGCCAGCACCACATAATCCACCCACTGCTGCCTGGGGCGTGGAGGGTGTCAAAGGGGAGGGGCAGTGGGTAGGTAGGTAAGGGTGTGGACGGCCCCTCGCAGTCGTGGCAGCAGCTTCACGTATTCCCCCAGCGCTATGTAGTCCACCCCATGCTGCCTGGGCGTGGGAGGAGTGGAAAGGGTGAGGGGCAGGGAGGCAGGAGAACGGGATGAGCTGGGGGAGAAGGGCGGAGAGGCGGGCAGCAGCTTCAGATACCCTGCCAGCACTATTTAGTGCACCTCGTGCTGCCTGGGGCGTGGAGGGTGTGGGGATGGGTTCAAGAGGAGGGGGGGAATGGGTAATTGCGTGGACAGCCCCTCACAAGCGGTGGTGGCAGCAGCTTTGGATAGCTAGCTCGCCATGATGCCATGGTGGGTGGGCTGGGAGGGGCACGAGTGCAAGAGAGCAAGAGAGCAAGAGAGCGAGAGAGCGAGAGCGCGAGAGAGCAAGAGAGCAAGAGAGCAAGAGAGCGAGTGAGCAACAGAGCAAGAGAGCAAGAGAGCGAGAGAGCAAGAGAGCAAGAGAGCAAGAGAGCAAGAGAGCGAGTGAGCAAGAGAGCAAGAGAGCAAGAGAGCAAGAGAGAGAGAGCAAGAGAGCGAGTGAGCAAGAGAGCAAGAGAGCAAGAGAGCAAGAGAGCAAGAGAGCGAGAGAGCAAGAGAGTGAGTGAGCAAGAGAGCAACAAAGCAAGAGAGCAAGAGCGCGAGAGAGTGTGAGAGCGAGAGCGCGAGAGAGCAAGAGAGCAAGAGAGCAAGAGAGCGAGTGAGCAAGAGAGCGAGAGAGCAAGAGAGCAGAGCAAGAGAGCAAGAGAGCAAGAGAGCGAAAGAGCAAGAGAGCGAGTGAGCAAGAGAGCAAGAGAGCAAGAGAGCAAGAGCGCGAGAGAGCGAGAGAGCGAGAGCGCGAGAGAGCAAGAGAGCAAGAGAGCAAGAGAGCGAGTGAGCAAGAGAGCGAGAGAGCAAGAGAGCAGAGCAAGAGAGCAAGAGAGCAAGAGAGCGAAAGAGCAAGAGAGCGAGTGAGCAAGAGAGCAAGAGAGCAAGAGAGCAAGAGCGCGAGAGAGCGAGAGAGCGAGAGCGCGAGAGAGCAAGAGAGCAAGAGAGCAAGAGAGCGAGTGAGCAAGAGGGCGAGAGAGCAAGAGAGCAGAGCAAGAGAGCAAGAGAGCAAGAGAGAGAGGCGGGCAATGGCAGCACCAATAGAGGTCCGACCTGGCAACGAGTCGTTGCTGGTGAGGAGGGACACACTCACACTCTCACTCTCACTTACTCACCGCATGGCAGCGAGCAGCTCGTCAGGCGTGAGGCCGCTCTGTTCGCTGGGCGGCAGCTTGGCGTTGACGGGGAAGGCGAGCGTGGGGATGCCGTTGGTGCGCGCGTACTGCCATCCCCCGCACTCTTCGCCCCCACACGCGCAAGCACACAGCGACCTCCCCGCCACGACGTGATGGTGAGGACGAAGGGGGAGGACAGGAGGAGAAGAGGGGGAGGGCGGGGGGGAAAAGAGAGAAAGGGAGAGAGCAGGGAAGGGAGTTGGGGAGGGGAAAGAAGGAGGGAGGGAGGGAGGGAGGGGGGGAGGGAGGGAGGGAGGGAGGGAGGGAGGGAGGGAGACAGAGAGAGCACATTGAGGAAATTCCGGCAGCCAGCACTATCAAAACCGTCAAGAAAGTCACAGAATTCAAGCCATGTAGACACAGCGTGCCGCTCTACAGAAATGCTCCTGCATTAACTCCCGGTGAGACGAACCATACGCGTTATATGCTGACCTGGTTTATCACTGACGACCACCACCACGTCGCCGTTCACGCGCCCGTCGGCGCAAGCCGCGTGGATAGCTTTGAAGTTCGACCCGCCGCCCGATACGAACACCGCCAGCCGCGCTCGCCGCCGATCCGACGGTTGAGTGGCGTCTGCGTCGGCGGCATCGCCGGGGGTGGCGCGCGCCGCGTCGCTGGAAGACGCATCCGCGCGCGCGACGAGCCGCGCGGACGCGAGTCTTCGCGGCTCGCACGACCGTTGCGCGACGGCTTGGAGTGATACGGGTTGAGATCGAGACGCGACGAGTGGCGTGGATGACGGTAGAGCGCTTGCGGATATGCGCGCGTGCGAGAGCGCTGTGCGGTGGTGGGTAGCGGGAGCCTTGTTTGAAAGATTATTGCGGCCTAATAGTCGAGACGAATCACAATGCATGGTTGAAACGTGCGCGGCCATGGCTGACCAGCCGGATGGAATGGTAGTGAGGACTCGACCAGTTGCGTTGCGTTGCGTTGGTTGCTGATCATGTTCAGCAGAAAAAGGGCAGGGAATTTGGGGATAAGGAGTGTGGATGGAGAAAGGGAGCGAGGTAATTTGGGTTCGCGAAATGTTTCTGCGGTTGCGAAACGAGTTACTGAGGGTGATTGTTATGTGTGAACTAGAATAACACACATTCCTTATATAGGAATTGCTTCTATGGAGTTGTAAGAAATATTTTAGCATTCCTTGCCGTGCATCTCAACATCGCCTACACGACCAACCATTCTGTTGTAGTAATTGAATACTTAATCAAGCACTCCCGAAGGTGCAGCAGTATCACACCTGGTGCGATCAGAATTTGATCGTGCCTAGGATCTACTCAAGAATGTTCGCACGCAGAGAAGTGAAGTTGGTGGGCCCTTGACCTCAATAGCAGAGTGAATGTAAAATGCTTTGAGATAATAAAACAAGCAAATACGGCAAATATATATATGAGTACAGGGAAGACGAAACGACCTAACTAGCCATGTACTCTAAGGGGTACATTCCCTTATTCAAATTCATTCCCAACCGTGCGGCGCGTACAGTTACGAAACTGTTCCCGCCAAAGCCATCCTGCCTGCAGCTGTCCGATGCCGTCTGCTCCGACGGTCCAGATGTGCTGTAACTGTCTGACGCTTCGAGTTAATTCTAACCATCTGACTCTTCGCGTTCATTCTCGATACTGCGTGCTTCTCTTTGCTGCGGTGAGGAGTGCACAGTAATAATCAAGTATTACTATTCGTAACACCCCCCTTCACTCCTGGCCGTAGCTCGACTTGACCTGCTTGACCACGCCGCTGAGTTCGGAGCAGTGTTGATACTGCTGGCGTGGCAGTCGCTTCGTGAGGAAGTCCGCTGCCATGTCACCGGTCGGGCAATAGGTCAAGTTGACCTTGCCCTTGTCCACCTCGTCCTTCACGAAGAAATACCGCAGCGCAATGTGCTTGGTGCGGTTGACGAAACCAGGCTTGTTCGTCTATCCCGGCTGTCTCTTCGAATCGCGCTCTGGTTATCGCAATGAAGGCGAAAAGTGGGCGAAGCTGGAATTTTCGCCTCTTGCAGGAGTTTCAAGCAGATGCCGCACGATCCAGGGATGTACCGCCGCGATTTCCGCGGCGAATACATTCTCCTCACGGTGTACGTCGACGATCTGCTTACACAGGCTCAAACAACGAGCTTCTCGAACAATTCGAGAAGGCCCTGGGAGGGGGCGTCGACATCACATGCAACTATGAGGTGAAGCAGTTCTTAGGCCTCAACATCTCCTACGCGCCTGAGGCCATTCACCTTTCAGCGGCTAAGTACGCAGAGGAGTTAGGGAAGCGGTTCAACATTTCACCTGCACCCCTCTCAACTCCCTACCGAACCCCCGGACCGAACCACAAACCCGACAACGTGGAGTTCAAACTTACCAGCAGCAGCTGGGATGCCTCCTCTTCGCCTCTGTCACCTGCAGGCCAGATCTCTCGTACATCGCAAGTCAGCTGGCGCAGTACTCACGCAACGGCTAAGAATCTTCTGGACCTACAGCGCGCCCTACAGTTCTTCGTCTCAACGCCCAAGATTGGGCTGTGCTACTCAACTGCACCAACTCCATCCTTCAATCTCATCGGCTATGTGGACGCCGATCATGCAGCAGATCCCGACAATCGACGGTCCAGGACTGGCTTCCTGTTCCGACTCGAACCAACGGGACCAATCTCCTGGAAATCGTAGAAGCAGGAGTTGGTTGCCCTGTCATCAGCCGAAGCGGAATTCATCGCAGCAACCGCAGCAGTTCGCGAAGGTCTCTACCTACAAGCAGGATGTTGTGCAGGTACTGCTGCCACAGCCTCGGAGCTTGCTTGATCCCGCAGAGCGACTTACGCAGCTGACACACGCGCGAGTCCCCTTCGCCGTATGTGTGCGGCTGCTCCACGTAGATCACGGCGTCCACTAACGCGTGTAGGAACGCGTTGTTCACGTCGATCTGGCGGAGTGGTAAGTGCCTTGCAGCTGCGATGGCGAGCAGGATTCGGACGGAGGTGTGGCGGCTAACTGGGGCGAATGTCTGGTCGAAGTCGATGCCATGCCTCTGGTCATAGCCGCGCACCACCCAACGCGCCTTGAAGCGCTCGATCGTTCCATCCGCTGCGATCTTCACGCGGAAAACTCATTTCCCCGAGAGGATCCTTGTCCCTTTGATTGCCGCGCGGTCGACAAGCACCCAGGTGTCGCGGGACTCGAGCGCTTTGATCTCTGCGTCCATCGCCTCGCGCCATTCCTTGCTGTGTGGTCCAGAGAGGGCTTCGCGCGGGTTTCGGGGCTCGATGACGACACGTGGCGCATTCGAGGTTGCGGTGTGGAGCCCGAGCAGCTGCAGTCCTGAGACGGTGCTGTCGTGGCGATGTTGCGGGATGACTTCCTGCACATCGTCGTCATCGCTCTCTGGTTCAGGTGGCGCTGGTGATGCTGCGCCTCTGCCGCCTATTCCGCCCATTCCTCCTCCCGAGGAATCGTCGTCGTCGTCGTCGCTGCTGCGCCGATCTTCCCATGTGAACTCGCCCCTAGTGTCCTGCTCCAGAATTGCTGCAGCGGCTTCGTCTTCGGGCGTTGCGTAGCTGTGCCCGTCGTTCGCGTAAACGCGATTCGCGTTTGTCTGTTCGTCGTGGCGAAACTGCTCGAGGAAGAGTCGTTCGTAGAAGATTACGTCGCGAGCGTGGGCGGTTTTCTGACTGAGAAGGTCCAGCACGATCCATGCCTTGTATTCGTGGCCGATGCCGAGGTGAATCCCCCAGCGCGCGCGGCTGGCGAATTTGCCGATGGTTGACGTTGGCGGGCGGTACTGCACCATGCACCCCCACACGCGGAGCATCGATGTGTCCCCCTTAGTTCCAGTCCACTTGACGTGTGGGGACAAATTGCCGGTGATGGCGGTGGTTGAAAGCAGGTTATGCACCCGCACGGCGTGGTGCATTGCGTAGGTCTAGTAAATCGGCGGCAATTTTGACTGCTTCATCAGCGCCCGCACCTTCGTCATCAGCGTGCGGTTCGTCCGCTCAGCTACGCCCTGCTGCTGGTGCGCGTAGGGGAGAGAAATATGGTGCTCGATCCCCTTTTGCGCCAGGTAGCTCTGCATCTGGGTGCTCGCCGTCGGATTGCCAGATTTTCAGCTTCTTCCCGGATTGCCGCTCCGCATGTGCTAGCCAGAGGCGAAATACCTCGTAGGCTCTGTCGCGCGACTCCACGTTCACGACCCACACGTAGCGTGTTCCAGCGTCGATGAAGGTAAGCGTGTACATTTCGTCGTCGACTCCGCAGTGCCCCACGTTCAGAAAATTGTTGTATACTTTGTGCAGCTTAGGGTAGCGGTTCGTTCCTGGCTCGAGCAGCGGGAACGGTTGGTGGCTTAGCGCGGCTTCGGGGCAGACGGTGCAGTTGCGCGACTGTGTCGCGCCGCCATCTGGGCGCAAGAGCGCTCCAGGAGCGAAGACGCCTGCGTCGATGCAGTTTTTCAGCGTCGCGCGTGAAGGGTGTCCGAGGCGCTGGTGCCAGAGTGCATCGTCAGCGCGAAAGCCGGAGGTGCGCATATAGCGTGCGCGAGCTTCCTCAGGCTCTTCGTCATGTACGGGAGCAGGTTCTGCTGCTGCTTCCTCTGCATCTTCTTCTTCTGCCGCGGTAGTGAGCATTAGCGCCAGAAACTCTTTGTCGCGGATCTCGGAAAGCGAGATGTTGGTCCCAGGGATGGTTCTAGGGACGAAGGTGGGTTCGAGGGGCTCAGGGGCAGTTCGTAGACGGTGCGACGCGGGGTCGACGGCTCGTTGCCCCAGACGATGGTGTCCCATGGATCGCGACGCGGGGGGTTGTCAGGAGGAGGTAATGCGAGTGGAATATGACGCGGGGGACGGCCAAGGGGAACGACTGCAGGTGTTGCCTCAGTTTTGCATGCTTCATCCTCTTCCCCCCTTCGTTCTTCGCGGGAAGTGCCCCAGCCGCTATTGTCCGCACCAGTTGCGGCGCCCCATCCGCCGCTTGCGTTGGCCCAGGTTCCGCCGTTGTCTCCCCATCCGCCGGTGTCGCTTGTTCCCCATCGGCCGGTGCTCCCCCACCCCCCTTCATTGGAGGCGCTTTCTTCCGCTTCGGCCCCCCAAACGCCTCACGCGAATGTCCCGCGTGCTTCGGCGAGGCTTGGTGAAGCTCCTCTGCTTCGCGACGCGCCAATTCTTCCTCTTGCTCCACGGTAAGTTTTGTTGTGGGGTCGCGCCAGTGGGGGTAGACCTTCAGAAATTCTTCGAGGGTGTAAGGGCGCGCGACTCCGCGTGAGTCCAAGGTTCCGCGGCGTTGTCCGCGCATAATGCCTTCGAGCCGCTGTGAGGGTGGTCCGGCGTGGGGGCTTTGGTCGGAGCCAAACACCCGGCGAGTAGTGACCTCAAGCTCGAGCTGAGACATTCCTTCCTCTGACGGCGCGTGGCGCTCTGCTTCAGCGATAGCGACGAGTCCGCGGCCGGCAATTGCGCTGGTTGATGTCGTCGGCGTGTGACAATCCCTGCAGATGTCGTCTAGGTCAGGGTTGTGCAGCGCCGTTTCGCGTGGGTAAGGGTGATACGGCACCCACGGTGTGCCGTCAGGGTGCGTCCAGTCCCTGTGGTGAATGTGTTTGAAGCGCAGTGGCACGAGATCAATTAACTCGTGCGAGTCGCCGCTGCAGTCGGGAATGTCGAAGTCCAGGACATACACTCCATTTTCGGAGTGTGCTCGTCCGATCCGCATGCGGGGAAAGTTGCACGATTTGTAGTGCAGCAAAATGTCGCGCGTCGCGCGATCCGTGCTGAGGTCGACGCCGCAGTCCATGAGTTGTGCGGCGGACAGAAGGTTGAAGCGCAGGTTCTGGACGATCAGCACGTCATTCAGTGTGATGTGCGTACGGCTTCCACATGCTTTGAGCACGACGATGC